AATAATAAATCACGTGCCTGCTTCTTTATTACTTCGACTCAATCGATGCCTGAAACTTTCAAAGTTAGCGAAGGTTCTGCTAGTCCTCTCATTAAAGTTCCATTTCCACCAACTATCGATCCCCCAAAATTGATAACCTCTAAAGCGGACGGAACGTTACCGCGTTCTCCCAATGCATTCATGATCTATCGTAAAGCATTTGTTGAGGCCGTCAGGGCTGAAGGTTATAGCTTTCCGATGACCGTCGTCTCTGCAATGGCCTCACGACAATGGGAACAAATAGAATCCGAAGAAATCCGCGCATACTATAAAAGGCTCGCTAAGGAGGCGTGCGAGTATAAGAAAAAGAAGTATCCGAGTAAATCGACAGGTAGTCGTAGGAAGAGAACAGGGTGGAGTGTCATGTCATTCCGAGAAAACAGAAAAGAAAAAAAGAGAACGCGATTAGATGAGAAAGAGGTTAACTCGTCGACTTTAACAACTATCCATTCTGAGGATGCCACTCAAACTTTTGGAGATTTTAGCTTTCCAAACTTATCATCTGATACAATCGCGTCGACTACTATGGAACAATTACATGTATATAATAATTTGTTGAATGCATACCCGAGTCCCGAATTTTCAGACACCTTTTCCCCAGATTTTTCATCCACCAATAATAATTCCTTCCCAGAATTGTCAAGCCCAGAAAGCAATAACGATCTTTATTTGGATTTTTCAACTTCCAACGTTAATCTTTCACCGGATTTGGGAGGATTATTCGTTTCTTCAGATGCTCAATCTTCAAACATCTTTCAGACTGAGGAACAAGATTACATCGATTCGCAAAATTTTATCGATTCCTGGGAGCTTCAATTTCTCTCTGATAATATTTTGATAAATAACACTGCCGCACTCGCTGCAACTACTCCCGGGAACGATGACGAATTACAAACCCCTAGCGAAGCACTTTACACTTTTGATATTTGCGAATACCAATACTGATACTTTAATGTTTAATACTCCAAATAATATGTTAAACCAAACGTTATCGTATAATAGATATTTTTCTTTTTATTATCTTGAATTGGTTATATAATGCTTACAGGATATATTTGAG